ACACATGTGCACCAATACTCTGGATTACAAGTCGCAATTCTCGTTTCAACTAAAATAATGGCAATTGTTGGTACTTGGTTCAACTCAATCGGTCATTTATTTATGGAGCTAAAAGACTAAAACTAGTGATAAATACATTTAAGGCGAATAGCTTACTCCAATAATTAAAAACAAATGATGCTGAGAAAGAAGATTTATTAGATAAACTGTGAAGTCGACTACCAAAGATACCAGAAAATCCAATTCAAACATTTGTTCCCATGCCACTGACAGTGAGTAATAGTGGAAACTCAGATTTACTAAATGTGTAGCTATGTATGTGGCGAGATTAAGCATTGCTTTTGTTTACTAACCTTCACACTTATTTGTCTTGTTGAAATGAATTCCAAAGTCGTCGAAAACACAAGAACAATGAAGATCACACCATGCTACTGAAATATGAGTGCGTAGGTGGTAAGTTACAGGTTTTTGACAAGGTACCTCTGGTATTTTGGCTCTAATTATTTGTATGCATAATATCAGACTAGACAACCATAAAAAAATGTTCTGATCAGTTCACTTTGAACAACACAATCAAATATTTTAAAATGTAGTTCATATCTAACCACGTAGGTCATCTGACTCGGTAATACAATAGTCCTAATTATTCGGAGTTCATTTCACCAAATTATAAACTCACTAATTTTCAATAATTGTCAGGCTGAAGTCGGTTTTCGATACAAACTATTCCCAGACACCCAAAGAAAGTTTTGTTTGGTGGGACCGGAAGTTATTTGGTAGAAAGCTTCTGTCGTTCATCTTACTCCAAAATGAAATTCTTCCCAGCTAATCTTGTGTATGTTCCTAGGCAATTCACGTCGCTACCCCAACAACCGTTGACGATGCGATGTGAGAAGACCGAACGAGAGGAGTATTGGACAAATGTATTCCAGGTAGATGTCAGATGCAGACCAAACTCACGAAGTGTACGAAGATATACTCATCGAAGGAAGGTTGTAGAAAATTCTCAATTCATCCTGCAACATGCAAACAAACGCTGAAAATGTACGGTTGTTAAAAATATTAACACATGATCATCGATTCATGCAGCTGAGCTATCACAGATAAATGAACAGTAATGGTAAAAAAGTGTGGCGTAGAATTTCTCACATCACTACTTCGCTACCTTGAACCTAGTCATCAAACGAGATACTTTATTCAAAAATTTCGAAGTTCGCTCATTACAGGATATTATCTGACCAACCAACTAATGAATATATATCGATCCCATTCCCGATGTCCTACTACTTATCATTATTCTCACGTCCAGTGTGTCATAGTTGATAAATAGAATAAAGATCTCTATTAGTTGAAGACACTGTGTTGATGATTCTAATTAACAATATCGGAACTACACACATGACATCATCTCAACATATGTGTGGATAACAATCACAAACAAGACACATAACCATGTATAAACCAAAGCGATTACATTTAATACTATGACACTCTCATACAGTTTGTTATCAGATCTTACCAGAGTTATCGAGAAGTCAGAATGATTCAATTGACCGTCACCTGTTTTGTTGCACTAGTTATTAGAACGAATAATAATTCAAGTTGTACAACTAAGGCACTCATAGGGAGATGTACAAACACAAAATATCAAATTACACAGTTGTTATGCGTCTGACGAAGAATTCATGTTAATAGGCAAACAGAATGAGATCATGCCAACGATAACTCTGATACGTACGTATCTACACCACTGATGCTCTTCTCTTTTGCCTATATTTTTGACAAATATATTTTCAACTCACTATATGAGATAAACTGAGCATGATTCCGAAATTGATGTACGGAAATGCATTTGCATCTCGTAGATTAGACAATTTTTCAAAATGTGTTGCAATTGACTGAGGTGAAAATTAAGTGAGATTATATTTAGTTAGTATGGAAAATTAACTAACCACCAGTCTTGTTATACGTGCCAATCACTTCGTCATGTTACTTGAGATAACTTTAAACGGATTTCGTTGAAATATAGGTCATTTTGGTTGCATGTATGTTTTCAGGGTGAAATGTCTTTTCAACAGATATTTTCAGTCAACGTATTTGGACGATCAATATATTTTTGGAAATTATTTTGTGTATCAGCCACAAAGAAGCTATACTTCATCTAATGATCAATTATATAAGTCAGTGGATTGAGAAATGTTTGATAGTGATTTCAATTTTACTGATCATATTTCGAGTTTTATGACATGCTGTTATACATTCTTTATGTGCAGTTTAAAAATACCAACAGAATAGTAAAAACGAAAGAATATTTGAGAGCGCAATTGTTTTCAATAACCTAATTATCAGGCTCTACATTTGTCGGTCCATAATTATTGTTATATTTTACAAGGCCAAAATAAGTCATACATTAGTGAATTTGACGATATGTTGGAAATGGTGAACTTTTGAATCTGTTATTTGTAAATTTGAAAGGTCATTTAATAAAGGTCAGAATAATTTGTAGTAGTATCAAGTTATAATCAATATTTCGAAAGTGTAATAAGAAGACGAAGATTATCAGAACTATGTGATATATTAGAACAATACATTTCGAACAATCTGATCACACATAAATTGTTAAGAGCATATCACATAGTTCTGATAATCTTCGTCTTATTACACTATCGCAATTTATCAATGTGATTAATGGCTTTATAATCAATATAATAGCGAAATATTAAATCATATAGATAAAATGAATAATAGTGGAATTTCGTCTTGTAAATCGAGGTAATAATAATAATAATAATAATAATAATAATAATAATGACGTCGTTCGAATAAAATATGTAGAAAGAGAGGCGTTGTAAAGGTAACTATTGTAAAAGAAATTCATGTGGATTGGGAAAGATGAATGTGTAGATTAAGATAGGAACACAAAATAAAATGGGAGGGGAATAAAAGATTTACAATATCCAGTCCAGGTATCTGATGATCCGGTCGTGGACTAAGGTAGACATATATATATACCTCTTCTGGATTTATAAGTTCGTTTCTCTGGAGTTGATCCAGATGGCTTCATCTATGTAGATAAGTCATAATCGAATACCTTCAGATAGATTGTTTGGAACTTGATATTAAGAGATAGATTCATCAACATTTTACATTTCGAGGGGGAGTATCGCATCCCGAACATGCTTAGAGTGGTCAGAAGACTGCAATTTGTCAGCGTCTTTAACAAATAAAGCCATGTCATCAGCATATTCCAAGCCAATAAGTGAACCTCCCGGTAAAAGTTCAACCCCTGGAAATCTAGACGAGGAAAGTTTCATCTCTATAAGCACGTCAACGACAAAGTTGAACAAGAATGGAGAGAGTGGACAGCCATGACGAACACCGCCTGAGGTAATCAATTCTGATCACAGTTCGCCATAAGCTCTCAGTCGACCATTTGTATTCGAGTGGAGAGCCTTTATAAGGTTAATGTACTTCTTTGGTACTCCTTTCAATGACAAACACTGCCATAGAACCTCACGATCAACAGTATGGAATGCTGCCTTAAGGTCGAGAAATACTACGATTGTGGAGCGTCTGAATTTGTATCTGTGTTCTAGAACCTGACGTAGTGTGAATGTCTGATCTATACAACCATGTCCAGGTCGGAAACCAGCCTGATTTTCTCTAGTCTGCTCTTCACGAGCTTTAGTTAGGCGTCGAAGTGTTATTGAAGCTAATATTTTAGACACTATATCAGTCAAACTGATTACTCTGTGATTGTCACAAGAGGACTTTTGTCCTTCCTTATAGACTGACACAATCAGTGATTGAGACCAGTCAGATGGGATTACGTCCAGTTCCCAAATTTTACCCAAGACCCCAGTCAATCCCACTGCTAAAACTGGACCGCCATTCTTAAAAATCCTAGGCGTAGACGAATGGCGTACGAACTAATCGTTGGTCACCGGCTACCATGGGACTGCATCTCCTTACGACGCTCCACTGCCTTGTGGTCAGACCTTCGGGTCGAAGGCCCCTAAGAAAACCACCTGCTTGTGCAGTATCACAGCCCTCACACATATCAAATTAGATTTGTGTGGCGCATATGTATTTGGTGCCTCCTTGTACCAACATCTGGTGCCTCCCTGCCTCCAGAGGTAGACCTATCATGGCCTGCTGCTCTCCTTCGATTCAGATTCCCTATAGCTTTTTCAACTTCGTGAAGATTTGGAGGACTTACTTCAACTTGCCATTCAGGTCGACTCTGTTTGACCATCGTTGTCTTCGAAGGATTGCTGACGTCATGGCAATACCATGTTAGTAATGCAAAGGTTTAGCATCATGTGTTCGGCACAGCGACAATAATTCAATTGGTGTTACTTTCTTGAAACATCGACTTCGGTGGCTTGGATGTATTTTATGAATGTTGTCTCAGAGAATTCCACGTCGTGCATTATTTACCGACGCTGGGACTGGTTGGAAAAAGCGGAGAGGTGGTCAGTGTATGACATGCTGTCGTGGTATGAAAGAAAGCTGCACAGAACTGGCTTCTTTTGTTTCCTCACGACTCCCTGGTTGATGTCCTAGAAATGATGTAACACAGTGGCTTAAGACGTTATCAGATACGGCTCAGAACAAAAGCCAGAGGCGATCCTGTTGTAACTTTCTTCAAAAAATTGAACGTACTTTCTCTAACCGGACGAATTCTTTCTGGTTGTACCTTTGCTAAATGAACTGCCTCTCCCATTATTATTTCACTGTCATACACTAATTTCTGATCGTTATTGTCCTCTTTTTTCTCATACGCACTTTATATCCCTTCACATTCTCATTGTTATTGTACGGCGCATATGTATTTGGTGCATCTTTGTACCAATATTTAGGTGTTCAAATAAATAAATCGACTCCAAAAGGAGTACACTGTTTGATCGCCGTAATTAAATGTATGTCAATCACCAGTCGTTCAAGTATTTATTTAATTATTAGTTTCGTCATAACAAAGAATCGTAAGCAGAAATCTATGATGCATAAGACCATTTTATTTTATAACACAACTATAGAGAAACAAAGCAAAAACATCATAAAGTCAAAAATATAAATATTGGAAATTAGTAGAGATCAGGCAGGTAGTCGTAAGTCACGTCCTTTCATAACTGTAAACAAAAGAAAGAGATACGTTAGTTAATTAGGTGACGTTGGTTGTTAGTGGAATTAGTCATTAGTTCTGTACAGTTAGATCGTAATTAATGACCAATTCTATATGATAGGGCGTAAACGGATCATACTAAGGAGCAGTTTCTAGTAATGCATTTTTGATTAACATAACACGAGCTAAATATCTTCATTCAAGTTGTGAATAGTAAGGCTCTTATACGTAGTTTAAACAGCAAAGTTCGTTTTATCGTCAAATTGGCTATCATGAAGAACAATTTATACCTAATATAAAAGTTTAGACCTTAATTGACGAATGTTTTATCAAATTTCTGGAAGATGTTTAACGTAATTTTGTGAAGCGAACAGAGTATGAAAAGTTAAACCAACAATTTTCAACCAAGAATTTGAGTATTTCGGCGTCCAAAGACTCATAATGATAGCAATTTTATGTACTAATAGTGGCTTTTCCTGAGCCTTGAAACAGCATATATTAGAATAAGAATATAAAGAAATGACCTTTCATCATCGTATCTTGGAGTATCTAGTTCTATTTTAATCAAACATAACTTTAAGACATTCAGGAAACAAACCATTAGTCAATAAAATGTCGGGCAAACCATGTATATGAAATCTTTACCATGAACATTAAAATGAATTCTAAGACGTCACTAACGCATCTGAAAAGTGAAGAAGACCGATTGAAATAGTCATAGTACCCAGGTGGTGGGTAGTGGCTAACCATTTACTCATATCTTAATTGTTAGTCAGAACATTGTTTCCAAAATAGATTTTTCACTGAAATACTAGAGGTTACTAGAAACAGTAAACGAACGAGTCGAATAACAACATGAGTGTAGACATGTTGCATAGGAGCAGTTATGTTAACTAGTGGATAAAATACGCTAAAAATTACCTCCAGTCATTTAAAAACATACGCGAAATCAAATATATAATTTACCTTTAGCTATATACAAATAGAAGAAGTCACAGTATAATAATGTTTGTACAATACCCGCAACAACAGCAATATAGTCGAGATAATCATCAAAAACATAACGGTATATCCAGTTGAACAAATACAACGCACGGTACGATCCTAACGCAAATAAGTAGTGAGAAGTGATTGTTTCAGCTTCGCCAGTTTTGCTAATCATAAACAACTGAGGCATAATAGCAACCGATTCCAAGTAAATTGAGAAAGCCCACAGTACCTTTGAGTAGTTAAGGGAAATACAAAAAATGACATATTATATAAGGAATGGGTAAAGAAAACTTGAAATAACATCTGGTATGTACAATAAGAGACACTTGATTAAAGAAATCATGATGATAACCCATTTACCATTCAAAAATGACTTAATAATGGAAAATTCTTCAGTAATCAGACCAACAAAAGTTAATGCTTTTAGTGATAAATTAGTAAAAATAAATCAAAAGCTGGGTTTCGAGAGAAACTCAGGTAATCTAAATATATATTTCATGTTAGTGATATTTGAATTACGGAGGGAGCACAAAATGGTGGGCCCGAATCTCAGAACATTGAATATTGAGTTGCCTGTCTACTTCAACCAACACTTCCTATTGTTTATGGAAACGAAATGAAATGTCTGGAGACGAAAATAGCTAAACTGTGCTTTACTGTCTGTAACTCCACGTTTTAACGGAAAATTTAAATTTAAAAGTTGGAGCTAAAGTTCGCGATTCGTTGATATCTATCTGTATGTGACTCGTTTTATGTGAATCCTCGTGAGGAAATCACTCAGTTCTTTGCAAAAGATCTCTGGAAATGTCCGTTGACGTTTTCTGAAGAATCAAACGAAGCTATGATACCTTACTTTGCAAACGATCCACAACTTATTGACCTAAGGTTTAGGTTGATCTATGTTTTAAACTTGCTAACCAGTTGATCATGAAGCCTCACTTTGCTTGGCTCAATGGCTACTGTATAACAAGTTATCATGAATTGGTTTGGCAACCTTATGGATTGTTTTCTTACGCTATTAAAATTAGTGTTTTCCGCGAATTGGAGTGGTGGTCTAATATTCAATGTGTTCGACTTTCAGACACCAAATCCCAGACTCGAATCCCAATCTGGTCATCCACGTAGTATAATTAGCCCTGAAACTTGTATTCAAGTACCTAGTGAATGAGTGAATTACTTATTGACTTACAGTGTCACTTTATAAACTCCTCACACATGTTTAGTTAGAATAATCCTCGAGTCGGTTTCTAGGACAGCATATGTGAAACCTATCCAAATCATGTATTAAAAAGGTTTGCATAATCTCGAAAAAGTTAAAGAGACTGAGCAGTTCCAAACAAAGAAAAAAAATGAAATTCAGAAGCTATTTTCCAGTGAATCAGCATACATATTTTTGATGCACATTTGTCAAGTACTTGATCTACAGTATTTTAATTAGAATGTTCTATTTGACCCCTTAACTGTTATCATACCTTTCTCCATTCATTGTATTGTTCATTAAACACAGACCTATTCCTCAAACTTTGTATTAGAAAGATCCCGACCGTTGTTGCTACCTTGACGTGGTGGTCGGGCTTGCCTATCGTGATAAAGCAACCGAGCTATACTGGCTGGGACAACCGTTCCTCAAGGTCCTACCATGTCAGACAGGTCGGTTGAAGAGCGGTAAGACTAAAAGCAACAAACCCAAGGTCCGAAGGCGAAGTCGCACTGCTGACTGTACAGAGGTGTGACAGCAGTAAGGTGTTTCCTTCAGACAACCAGCATGACAGCGATGCTGCCTTCCCACAAGGAGGGGTGGGGTTAGAAAAGGTCGACCCTAAAAATGCACACCTCACCTTACCTTACGAATATCCGTCTCCGGCGGCAAGGCCCTTTGAAGAACGGAGCTAACACGTCACAAACCTCCCACGAAAAGGCCGTGCGCGACCGGCCTCAAGCAGTTGTCCCTTGGGCACTGCGGTCACGCTCTCAGGTCACTGAGACCGCCTCTAATCCAATTTCCTTTTCAGGTACCTCCAGAAGAACCCTTCCACGGTGTGGGTAACCGGGAAGTGATAACCGCCCTCATACCTCTAACAGCACTCAAGACCACGGTATTCATAATCAACCTTCCTCTTCACTTCCTATTATTCCTCCTACATCGACTTTCAACTCTAAACTTCCTCTTTCGGCTTCCTCCTCAAGTGTCACCATAGCCAACGATTCTAGTGCTCAAAACACTGTCCCAGGTCTACTGAAACCTCGCTCCACACTACACATTGGAGCCTTCAACGTACGAACCCTATATCAAATCGGTCAGCAGGCTTCCTTGGCTAAAACCCCAGAGTCTCTTTCCATTGATGTATGCTGTGTCTCCGAAACACGCATACAGGATTCCAGTGTGGTCATTCACTTGACCTCACTTCGTCAAAACGGAGAGCCAACGAGATACACCCTACGTGTATCACACTGATGGATTCTCGTAAACTCGTCCCACCAGGTTCTGAACATGATGAAGAGCGTAAACAAATCAGATCTAGGTTAAGAAAAAGTCTAAGAAACGACCGTGAGCAGTGGTGGGCAATGAAAGCAAAAGAGATGGAAAAGTCGTTGACTATAGGGAACTCCCAGATCCTAGCTAAAATATTAGTCAACCTAATCGCTAAAATTGGACCACCATCAGTAAAGACCTCTGGAGCCAGTCCATCTGAACCAGCTGCCCTTCCTCGTTTCAGATTAACTATAGCCTTCTCAGCTTCAGCAAGAGTTGGGGGACCTACTTCAATGTTCCATTCACATTGTCTGGGAATGGAGGGTAGTTGTAGAGTAGCTGAAGGCCAGTTGAACTGTTCTCTGAAATGTTCCGCCCATCGTTCTAAACGTCTGGACTGAGAGCAGATGAGAGTATCGTCTTTTTCCGAAATAGTCTGACTTACACTTGACTTATTAATTCCAGTTTCTTTTATTAGTCTGTAAAGCTGTCTTGTGTTCACTATAGTCGCCGCCTTTTCAATCTCTTTTGCTTTCATTGCCCACCACTGCTCACGGTCGTTTCTTAGACTTTTTCTTAACCTAGATCTGATTTGTTTACGCTCTTCATCATGTTTAGAACCTGATGGGACGAGTTTACGAGAATCCATCAGTGTGATAGACTTTGAAGAAATCCACTGGTTCTTTGTAACTCTGTGGTTTAAGTCGCTAATAAATGTCACTGCTGTTTCCACAGTTGTCTGTATAGCTTTCCAAGCAACATCTGGGTCAGCCTCGTCTTTAGAACTACCTAAGTGTGACCTCAGTTGTTCTTGGAACCTACTTTTGGTTTTCTCGTTACTCAACTAAATTCTAATGGGTCTTTTTAATGTGGCTTTTTTGCGTCCAGTGAGGCGCAAGCAGATACGTGCCCGTAATAGGGCGTGATCGGAGTCTAAGCACGTACTCCAGAATGAGCGACAATCTTCTACCGACCCTCTCCAACGATGACTGATGGCAATAGTCTATTTGAGTCCATCGTTGGTTTGGTGTAGGGGGTCGTCATGTTAGACGATGTCTCTCCTTATGCTTAAAATTTGTGTTTGCTAAAAATAAGCGATTGTCTGAGCACAGTTGCAGCAGACGATCACCATTATCTGTTCGCTGTGTCGGAATACTAAAATATCCACCTAAATACCTTTCTGTTTGGTTTAAGCTACCTATCTGAGCATTAAATTCACCCCCTATGAGTACTATGTCTGAGCGTTTAGCTTTCTGAAGAAGTTCAGAAAGCTTTCTGTAAAATTCATCTTTCACATCATCTGAGCTGCAGTCAGTGGGAGCGTAGGCAGAAACGACGAAAAGGCAACGACGTGTGTCCCTATCCTTCCGAGTTCTTACGGAGCCGTTTAACCGAACAGCACATAGACGACTGTTGACGGGGGTCCACTCTAGCAGTGCTTGTTCCGCCCTCATGCTTAGTGCTATGCCTACACCTGCCAGTCCACGAGAACTTGCCATCGGCTCACCAGATACACGAAGGGTGTACCTCGTTGGCTCTCCGTTTTGACGAAGTGAGGTCAAGTGAATGACCACACTGGAATCCTGTATGCGTGTTTCGGAGACACAGCATACATCAATGGAAAGAGACTCTGGGGTTTTAGCCAAGGAAGCCTGCTGACCGATTTGATATAGGGTTCGTACGTTGAAGGCTCCAATGTGTAGTGTGGAGCGAGGTTTCAGTAGACCTGGGACAGTGTTTTGAGCACTAGAATCGTTGGCTATGGTGACACTTGAGGAGGAAGCCGAAAGAGGAAGTTTAGAGTTGAAAGTCGATGTAGGAGGAATAATAGGAAGTGAAGAGGAAGGTTGATTATGAATACCGTGGTCTTGAGTGCTGTTAGAGGTATGAGGGCGGTTATCACTTCCCGGTTACCCACACCGTGGAAGGGTTCTTCTGGAGGTACCTGAAAAGGAAATTGGATTAGAGGCGGTCTCAGTGACCTGAGAGCGTGACCGCAGTGCCCAAGGGACAACTGCTTGAGGCCGGTCGCGCACGGCCTTTTCGTGGGAGGTTTGTGACGTGTTAGCTCCGTTCTTCAAAGGGCCTTGCCGCCGGAGACGGATATTCGTAAGGTAAGGTGAGGTGTGCATTTTTAGGGTCGACCTTTTCTAACCCCACCCCTCCTTGTGGGAAGGCAGCATCGCTGTCATGCTGGTTGTCTGAAGGAAACACCTTACTGCTGTCACACCTCTGTACAGTCAGCAGTGCGACTTCGCCTTCGGACCTTGGGTTTGTTGCTTTTAGTCTTACCGCTCTTCAACCGACCTGTCAGACATGGTAGGACCTTGAGGAACGGTTGTCCCAGCCAGTATAGCTCGGTTGCTTTATCACGATAGGCAAGCCCGACCACCACGTCAAGGTAGCAACAACGGTTGTGGTATTGTAGACTTTTTTATATATGAATATACAAAGTAAGGTACTTGCTTACTAGCATGCGTATGACAACTAAAAATGAGAATAAGAACTGACTGAATACATCCTATTACTAGATTTAAAATTCAAGACGTTATTGGTGTAAGTGAGAAATAAAACAAGTATTACATAGATGTTGCCATTGTATGCAATATACCATAAAAATGATTGATTTATACTTCAAGATCTAGTAATCGGACTTAACAAGTATAGTGTAAAACAATTCACACTACAGAGTTAGTTATGAAACACACCAAAAAGAAAACAGCAACAGAAATTGCATTTTGTTATTCGGATGATAATCTTGATATCTGTCAAACGATTTGTTTAGGGCTCATTCTACTTTTTATTTCTCATTGAATCCATAAAATTGTATGTATTGAGTAACCCTTCACTATAGTTTGAATTTGATTGGTTATCACATCACTATATCTCGGCCACTATTATATATATATTCTAAATTTTAATAAGTTTCGATAGACCTACGAATTGACTGGTGTACATTGGATTCTTTTCGTTTCAACGTTTGCAAGTGATAACCATTTCACTTTACCGAAAATCCTCAATTCCTATTACACATTTCAAAAGGTGTATTTACCTTAGATCAGACATGCATTTTATGAACCTATTGGGCTCATGGAAAATTATATATCAATAATTAGGTATTTGAATATGAGCAAAAAAGTGTGAGAGCTATTGATGCTACCTGGTTGACAAAACCGAAGCAGATGGGGTGGGGTTCGATCCTGAGACTTAGTTTCTAGAAGTCGGACGCCTTAATCATTGAACCAATGCTACACTTGCGCTTATAACTGTGGAACCCTATGAGGCTTTATGGAAACGAATATTCTCTGTTCGTATGTGCTTCAGTATTCGAAAAACTATGGAAGCTGCTTTTCTATGGAAGCCAAACACTCATCGTATGTTCACCACTAATGACGGTTCGATTAAAAAAACAGAAGGATGTACTGTATGTTTATTCACTTCTTACCCAAACATGAAAAGTTGGCTTTGTTATGAAAATATAAGTAATTTATCGAGAGTACAAGATTAATCCTAGAGGTACCTTAAAAGTTATCTCAAACGTGTAAGAGACATAAAGCTTTATGTTCATATATAATATAATTCATTAGTTGGAGACCTTAAGTGACATTTATTTTATTTTATTTGGACACATGAATATTGGTACAAGAGAGCGCCAATATATATGCGCCACACAAAACAATGAAAATTCGAGAGGAATATAAAGAAAGAAAAAAAAGCTAAGGAGCGCAACAAAAAAAGGGAGAATAACGAAGAGATTGGTGTAAGGTAATGTGCTAGTAATCAGGGAACGCAAAGGTACAATCGGAAGAAATCTTTCAGGTAAGGGAGACACAACCACTTTTTATGAAGAAAGTAAAAGAAGGTTACAGCACGATCGCCACTGGCTTCTATTCTGAGCCATATCTGATAACGTCTCTAGCCACTGTGTAGCACCATCTCTCAGACCCCAACCAGGGAGTCGTGAAGGACCAACACAAGCCAGTCCTTTGCAGCTTTCTTTCATGCCACGACACCATGTCATGCACTGACCACCTCTCCGCTTCTTCCAACCAGTCCCAGAGTCGGCAAATAATGCGCGACGTGGAATCCTCTGGGACGACATTCGGAGAACATGTCTAAGCCACCGAAGTCGGTGTTTCAAGATGGTGACACCAATTGCATTATCATCTCTGTGCCCGAACACACGATGCCGAACCTCTGCATTACTGACATCGTGTTGCCACTGAATGTCAGCAATCCTTTGGAGACAGCGATGATCAAACACAGAGAGTGGTCTAACTTCCTCAACTCGGAGAGGCCAGGTTTCACAAGCATAGAGCAAAACTGCTCTCACCGACGCGTTGTAGATCCGACCTTTTACGGCCAGACTAACATCACGAAGGCGCCAAAGGTGGCCCAGATTGGCATAAGCCTCTCTGGCTTTCACTATTCGTGCATTGATCTCATCGCTCATACCCCCACCAGCACTTATGCAGCTACCCAGATACACGAACTTCTCAATTACGTCTATCTGCTCACCATCCAGAGTGAGTACAGGATTAGAATCCTGCCAGTCTTGTAGAAGTACTTTGCACTTCGAAGGTGCAAAGCACATACCATACCTACGGACACTGATTGCCAACTGATTAAGTGCGGATTGCATGCCTTGGGCATTATCGCACAGTAAGGCAATATCGTCCGCATACTCAAGGTCGAGAAGTCTTTCGCCAGGCAACAGATCCACACCACCATTACTTACATTCATCAGAGCTGTTTCTAGAATGTCATCGATGGCAAAGTTGAAGAGAAATAGTGAGATTGGGCAACCCTGCCTAACCCCACTACTCGAATGGAACAATGGAGAGAGGTGGTTGTATGCCCTCACTCTGCCTGAGGTGCTTTTATATAGGGCTTTTAGGATGTTAATAAACTTCTCAGGCACACCCTTCTTCAATAGACAATCCCAGAGAACAGTCCTATCCAACGAATCGAAGGCAGCCCTGATGTCAAGAAACACTACGATTGTTGGCCTTTGATAAGTATGGCGGTGTTCTAACATTTGGCGGAGGGTGAAGATATGATCAATACATCCTCGACCAGAACGAAACCCAGCCTGCTCCTCGCGAGTCAATCTTTCTCGGGTTTTGAACAACCTACGAAGAATGACGGAAGCCAATAGCTTGGACGCAATCGGAAGTAGACTTATCCCCCGATAGTTGTTACAGGAACGACGTGAACCCTTTTTAAAGATAGGGACAACTATCGACTCATTCCATGACGTTGGCACACTCTCTAGTTCCCAAACCTTTGTAAACAACGTCGTCAATTCCTTAGTCAAAAAGTCACCACCATCTTTAAAAAGAGCCGGAGGTAAGTCATCTGGACCAGGTGATTTGTAACGCTTCAAGAGTTGGAGTTCCTTGCGGACTTCCTCCTCGTTTGGTGGATCAGTCGTCACCGGCCATGGAGGGCAGGATAGTCTGACCGATGTTGCCGGAGCAGCAGGCCAGTTGAACTGCCCTTCGAAAAACTCTGCCCATCGTCCAAGACGTCGATGGATGTTAGTGATTGGCATCCCATCATCCTCGCAGACTGTTTCACTCACACCAGACTTCTTGCTGCCAGTGGCTCGGATGAGTTGGAAGAGCTTCCGGTAATTACCAGATGCAGCTGCTGCTTCCAGCTCATTAGCACGCTTCGACCACCAGGCTTTTCGGTCCTTACGCAAGCTTTGCCCAATTTCATTACGTAACATCCTTCGTTTATGGTCAAACTCACGGTCACCCGGAGTAGACCGACGGGCTTCAATGAGTTGTAAGGAACCAGAAGAAACCCAGTGCTTAAAAGCGGGACGTTTCGCAAACCCACAACTGACTGTTCCCGCCATTTTCATGGCGTCATACAATTGCAACCAATGCTCATCTATACTTTTCGGTGGAGTGGTAGCTAGCCTAGAGGCTAGCTCGGTTCGATACTTATTTGCAACAGAAGTTGCAACCAGCTTGCTAACATCAATCTTTTGGTGGTGGTCACTTCGTTGGCCACTGAAAAGTACAATATCTGTCGAACGCACTTTCTGGAGAAGAACAGATAACTGGTGGTAAAACTCATCCTTGATTGCATCCGGGCTGCAATCTGTCGGGGCATAGGCGGAGATGACGAAAAGACATCGTTTCTCACGCCAATTTCTTCTCACTTTGATGGAACTTTCTAATCTAACAGCACATAACCGACTGTTAATGGGGATCCAATCGACTAGTGCTGCCTCAGCTCTAGCGCTTAGTGCGACACCAACGCCAGCGAGACCAGACGAAGATGCCACAGGGTCCCCGGATAAGCGCACGTAAAACAAGCTTTTTGAAGTGACAGATGTAGAGCGAATTTGTAGTACTTCACCAGAGACTTGAATACGGGTCTCGGATAGACAACAGACATCGATATGAAGACTTTCCAAAGACATAGACAGCTCTATCTGTTGTCCAACCTGCATAATTGTGCGAACGTTGAAGGCAGCCAGTTTGAATGGTGCACGTGGTTTCAGAAAAACTGCTTCAGTACTCATATTCAACCCGACAGTGACTCGAAAACGTTTAGATACAGTCGAATTTCCACCAAAGACGAGCCGCTGTATAAGTATAAAAGAGGGTGAATAATGTGGGAAATAATAATAATAATAATAATAATAATAATAATAATAATAATAATAATAATAATAACGACAATAATAGTAATAATAATAGTATTAATAATGACAATAATAGTAATGATAATTATTTGAATCGACTGATTGTTTTTCGGAGCGATAAAAGTAATTTCCATAGACATAGAGTTCATCGTTTGTGTGTGGGCTGTGATACTGCCTGGGTGCCCAAACCGAAGCAGGTGGTTATCTTAGGTGGCCACTCCCCGAGCCTTTGACCTAAAGGTCTAACCCACAAGGCAGTGGAACATCGTAAGGAGATGCGATCCCATGGTAGCCGGTGACCAACGAGTGGTTCATACGCCATTTGTTCCCGCAGGATACTGGAGCCCATGTGCACCATTGGTTTGTGATCCGGTTAAAGCGCCGGACATTCGCTTTTCGTCCTCTCATTTTCGTAAACAACACTCCCGCCACGAGAAGGCAATGAGTAGGACTTCCCTGGCAGAGGCTGTATACGCGCGGCCGTGTGAGAGTATTTCGAGAGGGAGAGCGGACTCTCCCCACTCTCGGCCGTACCAGGGCATTCGGGGGCTGACAGAGACTTTAATCATTTATAGTGATGAGGATGGATTACCTCTAAAATTAATTTGGACAATAGAATTACAATTCCAGAGTTACGTACTCAGTCTCATTTTGGTTTTGCTTCTTGTTTTACCTAATTAGTGTCGTTATAAAAGCTGGTTGTTTTGGATTGTTTGGTGTGAGCCTATTTAAACTGATGCACCATTACAATAACTAACTGTAAATTGTTTGTTTCAGCCAAATTATCAAAGTGAGAATCGAAAAATCTGTATTGAAGGCCTTACCTCATATAAAGAAAATTCGTAATTGGCCACTAATCCTAGAAGCAGACTGGGGATCAGCAACAAATACACAGCAAATGTATCATGATTAGAATCGTAGGTAGCCTTGAATTTGAAATACATGAAGTAGACGGTCGCACAAGAGCAAATGATAAAGAAAAGCTTCATGATGGTGTTATACAGTGAAATGAAATTGAAAAACAAATCCACGTAACGTGATATAAACACAACCGCAAAAAGAAGTTGAGATTTTCCTGAAAGTCCTACAAAGTGGATACAAGTAATCCAAGTAAAGTATATTGAAAAGGTTACATAAATCAACAAAATCGCTCACATAGAAAACCGACAACTATTTTCGGACATTACCTCAATGACTAGATTTCATCCACAAAGACATGAAAACACTTAATCCTTTCAAAATGGTTTCTGGATAAGTTTAAATATCGCAGGACGCTCAACTTCAAGAACAAGCTGGATTGCGTAAGGATCGGTCGTGCATAGACCGAATTGCGACACTACGGATGGTGTTATTGTCTAACCTCAACCAATTCACGAAGGCCCTGGGTTCGAACCCCGCAAACGGGATCGTGCTGCTGAGGAGTCCCATGGTAGGACGAAACGACCGTCCGGCACTTCCAGGTTTTCTATGGTGGTCTAACATCGATCAGTTCATAATCTCAAACGAAAACTTAATAATCTCTACCACCGCTATACTGATAAGTGAAGTTGTCGACGCGTTCGACTACTTCACTCCCTATCCTTAGTTCAGGTGTTGACTCAGGCCAGTCCTGAAGCAACAACTCGCATTTAAGAAAGGGAGAAGCGTATCCCAAACATTCTGGCATTGTTACTTAGTGCTACCAAAAGACTGCAATTTATCAGAGTCTTCACCAAACAGGACTATATCATCTGCGTATTCTAAGTCTATAAGTGGACCTCCTGGTAGGAGATCAACGCCCGAAAATCCAGTCGACGACAGTGTTATTTACATCAGTAGGTCTATGATTAAGTTAAACAAAAATGGAGAAAGTGGGCAGCCTTGACGGACACCACTTGAGGTTGCAAAAGTAGATGACAGTTCGCCATAAGCCCTGACTCGACTAGTAGTGTTCGAGTAAAGAGCCTTCACAAGGTTTATGTACTTCTGAGGTACGCCTTTCAATGACAGACACTGCCACAGAGTCTCGCGGTCTACCGAGTCAAATGCTGCTTTCAAATCAAGAAAGACCACCATTGTCGGACGCCGATAAGCATGCCTATGTCCTAGAACCTGACGAATGGTGAATATGTGGTCGATGCAGCCACAACCAGGTCTGAAGCCAGCCTGATTTTCTCGTGTTTGCAGTCCACGAGTCTTAGTTAGGCGCCCGATAATTATTGAGGTTACTATTTTAGATGCTATATTTGTCAAACTAATCCCTTTATTTTTGCCACAGGATGATTTTGACCCCTTCTAATACATTGGGACAATCAATGATTGAGACCAGTCCGATGGGATTACGTCCAACTCCCAAATCTTAACTAAAATACTAGTCAACCTAATCGCTAAAACTGGATCACTATACTTAAGGGCATCTGGAGCCAATCTATCGGGACTAGCAGCTCTTACTCGTTCCAGATTAACTATAGCCTCAACTTCAGCAAGAGTTGGGGGACCTACTTCAATGTTCCATTCAGAGTGTCTGGGAATGGTGGGTAGATGTAGAGTAGCTGATTTTATTTATTTATTTGAACACATAAATATTGGTACAAGAGAGCGCCAATATATTTGCGCCACACAAAACAATGAGAATTCGAAGAGAAAGAAAAAAAGGTGAGGAGCGTGAAAAAAAGAGAACGATAACGAAGAGGTTGGTTTAAGGTAGCGTAGTAATAATAAGGGAACGGAAAGGTACAATCAGAAGAAGTCTTTCAGTTAAGGGAGACACAACCACTTTTTATGAAGAAAGTAAAAGAAGGTTACAGCAGGATCGCCACTGGCTTCTATTCTGAGCCATATCTGATAGAGTAGCTGAAGTCAAGGTAAACCATTGCCTAAAGTGTTCCGTCCATCTTTCTGAACGTCTGGGCTGAGAGCTCACATTAGTGTTGTCTTTTTCCGAGATCATCTCGCTTACACCCGACTTTTTCGTTCCAGTTTCTTTTACCAGTCTGAAGAGCTGTTTTGTGCTACCTTCAGCCACCGCCTTTTATACTTCTTTTGATTTCGATACAGCCTATGACAGACTTTGTTGGTTCTAGGTCGGCGGCTTATTTCCCAAGAGGCATAACAGGTTTAAGGAAGTACGCAAGGTGATATCACTAAAGTTTAACCACTTGTGGCACATGAAAATCCTGTCTCTGTCTGAATAATGAAAATCTTAATTTTATCAGAGTATATGGCAGCTGACTTCAAACCAGTAAGTTCAATTATTTTAATTTGTATGAAGACGCTTGAATCAGTCTTATGCAACATGAAACCTGGCATATATGTACGTCGACTCCAGCTGCCACACCATATTAGCACTGCTATCAAAACCTTCGCAAATATAACGTTTACTCGACTAGGATTTAGAAACTGATAAGTTTATGACGAAAGTACTTTATGTACGTGAAGTTGCAAACTTTCCTACCTATTGACACACACTATTATGACCAATGAACTCCGCCTGGAGTCCCTCCGGGGGCCACTGCCGGTCCCAAGCCCGGATAAAGGAGGAGGGTTGGGCATGGGGTTAGCGTCCCCATCCCGTAGAAAACTAACTCGCTAAAAAAACGCTAACCAGAAAAAATTATTCAAACCTTTTAAACTCTGCCCTGGGAGTCAGAAGATCTTCATTTAGAAGAATTATGACGCCTCATGATGAAAGCCGAATCCCTTCGGAAGTTACGAGGCCGATGCCCCTTCTGACAACCAGAGCGACCATTTATTTAGGTACATGGAATGTTCGTACAATGTGGGACACCGGAAGAGCCTTCCAAATTGCTGCAGAAATGAGAAAATACAACCTAGAGGTACTTGGGATCAGTGAAACACATTGGACACAAGTTGGACAACAACGACTAACTACAGGAGAGCTCCTGTTATACTCCGGCCACGAAGAAAATGCACCACATACACAGGGAGTTGCATTGATGCTGTCCAAACAAGCACAAAATGCGCTTATAGGATGGGAATCTCATGGACCAAGGATCATCAAAGCCTCGTTCAAAACAAAGAAAGAGGGCATTTCAATGAACATCATCCAATGCTATGCGCCTACCAACGACTACAATGAAGACGCTAAAGACCAATTCTACAATAGGCTGCAGTCAATAGTCGAGAAGTGCCCAACAAAGGACCTGACCATTCTGATGGGAGATTTCAACGCCAAGGTTGGAACGGACAAGAGTGGATATGAAGACATCATGGGACGACACGGACTGGGAGAAAGAAACGAAAATGGTGAGAGATTTGCAAACCTATGTGCCTTCAATAAGCTGGTCATAGGCGGTACCATGTTCCCACATAAACGCATACACAAAACCACATGGACTTGACCGGATCACTCTACACAAAACCAAATCGACCATATTTGCATCAACAAAACGTTCAGGAGGACTATAGAGGACGTGAGAACCAAGAGAGGAGCTGATATAGCATCAGATCATCACTTACTGGTCGCCAAGATGAAATTGAAACTCAAGAAGCACTGGACAACGGGGCAGACAGTATCACAAAAGTTCAATACGGCCTTTCTCCAGGATACTAACAAAATCAACAAATTCAAGATAGTCCTCAGCAACAAGTTCCAGGCCTTTCATGATCTACTCAATGGAGAAGGAACTACTGTGGAGAGCAACTGGGAGGGGATCAAAGAGGCAGTCACTTCAACATGTCATGATATCCTGGGTCACAAGAAGCACCACCACAAGGAATGGATCACTGTTGGTACACTGGATAAGATTCTAGAAAGGAGGAACAAGAAGGCAGCGATCAATACCAGCCGAACAAGAGCAGAAAAAGCCAAGGCACAAGCTGAATACACGGAAATAAACAAACAAGTGAAGAGGAGCATCAGAACCGACAAACGCAAATATGTGGAAGATTTAGCAACGACGGCGGAAAAGGCTGCAAGAGAAGGAAACATGAGACAATTGTATGATACGACAAAGAAACTCTCTGGAAATCACCGTAAACCGGAGCAACCAGTGAAAAACAAGGAAGGCAAGGTAATCACCAACATTGAAGAACAACAAAACAGGTGGGTGAAACACTTCAAAGAACTCTTGAATCGACCAGCTCCACTGAACCCACCCAACATCGAAGCAGCACCCACGGACCTCCCAATCAATGTTGGCCCACCAACAATTGAAGAAATCAGCATGGCCATCAGACAAATCAAGAGTGGCAAAGCAGCAGGACCGGACAACATCCCAGCAGAGGCACTAAAAGCAGACGAAGCGGCAACTGCACGGATACTCCACATTCTCTTCAATAAGATTTGGGATGAGGAACAAGTACGCACAGGCTGGAAAGAAAGACTACTGATCAAAATACCGAAGAAAGGCGATCTCAGCAAGTGTGATAACTACAGGGGCATCACTCTTCTCTCAATACCGGGAAAAGTCTTCAACAGGATATTGTCAAACAGGATGAAAGACTCCATAGACGCCCAACTTCGAGGTCAACAGGCAGGGTTCCCTAAGAATAGATCGTGTACAGACCAAATCGCAACTCTACGGATCATTGTGGAACAATCAATTGAATGGAATTCATCACTCTACATCAACTTCATTGACTACGAAAAGGCATTTGACAGTGTGGACAGAACAACACTATGGAAACTTCTTCGACACTACGGCGTGCCTCAGAAGATAGTCAATATCATACAGAACTCATATGATGGATTACACTGCAAAATCGTGCATGGAGGACAGTTGACAAAGTCGTTCAAAGTGAAGACCGGTGTTAGGCAAGGTTGCTTACTCTCACCCTTTCTCTTTCTCCTGGTGATCGACTGGATCATGAAAACGTCAACGTCCGAAGGAAAGCGCGGGATACAATGGACATCTAAGATGCAGTTGGATGATCTAGACTTCGCAGACGATCTGGCCCTTCTATCCCAAACGCAACAACAGATGCAGAAGACGAACAGTGTGGCAGCAGCAATAGGTCTCAATATACACAAAGGGAAAAGCAGGATTCTCCGATACAACACAGAATGCACCAATCCAATCAAAATTGACGGAGAAGATTTGGAAGATGTAAAAACCTTTACGTATTTGGGCAGCATCATTGATGAACAGGGTGGATCTGATGCAGATGTGAAGGCGCGGATCGGAAAAGCAAGAGCAGCATATTTACAACTGAGGAACATCTGGAACTCAAAGCAACTGTCAACCAACACCAAGGTCAGGATTTTCAATACAAATGTCAAGACAGTTCTACTGTATGGGGCAGGAACCTGGAGAACTACAAAAGCCATCATCCAGAAAATACAGGTGTTTATTAACAATTGTCTACGCAAAATACTTCAGATCCATTGGCCGGACACTATTAGCAACAACGCACTGTGGGAGAGAACAAACCAGATCCCAGTGGAGGAAGAAATCAGGAAGAAGCGCTGGAAGTGGATAGGACACACATTGAGGAAAGCACCCAACTGTGTCACAAGACAAGCCCTCACATGGAATCCTGAAGGTCAAAGGAAAAGAGGAAGACCAAAGAACACATTACGCCGGGAAATGGATATAGACATGAGAAAAATGAACAAGAATTGGATGGAACTAGAAAATAAGGCCCAGGATAGAGTGGGTTGGAGAATGCTGGTCAGCGGCCTATGCTCCATTGGGAGTAACAGGCATAAGTAAGTAAGTAAGTAATTATGACCAATGAGTTGTTGGGAAAAAACAGCGGGCAGATGCAAGTACTAAGATCGTGGACTGGCTATTGATGTAATATTCTTAGATTCCAGAAAATGATTTGATAAGGTAGCTGTTTCAAGCATGAATTATGTAGGGACCCTCTATATTTGGAATAGAAGACATACCTGGACCAGAAGGTACCCAGATATTGAGAGCGAAGAGTGAAAGTTAATGGGATGCAATCTAAATGGTAGTTTCTGTGAGCGGACTACCGCTATATATTATCTTTGATTCTCCAACACTTTCACACTATGGTGTAGCAGCATTGGTAATTATTTGACACATATGTCAACTAACTACCAAGAACGTTTACGCCATTAACACACTTGAAGATAACATGAAGACACGGAGAGTAAGTAGCAAGGCTGACAAGCTTGGATTGATCAAGCCTTTCAGTTTCAGTTCAGAAAGGACAGAAGGCTTAATGGCCTGTGCTAGTCCTGGCAATGGTGGTCTCAGTTGATCCAACTTTCTTTTGAAAGAGTCAACGGATGGAGCCCCAACCACGTGCTGATGTAATGAATTGCACTCGAATTTGTATTGGGCGTGACCCGTAGAATAATACCGACCTCCCAGCCTGGAGGAATATTTACGTTTTTCCAAATAATTCAAAACCATTATTATTCCCAATATTTGGAAGAAAATCGACCAAATCGAAGGGAATCTTGATGATTTCCCAAAAGTCAGTGGAATAATCTAGAAAGTGAGCTAATTAGCTGGAAGAAAGTGAGCCAGTGCGATCTTATTATAATGTGAAAGGAACCTACTAGGACTAGTATTGCAATGACGAGAATGACAAAAGTTTCACTATTTAAGATGTAAAACTTTGTTGTGTTTTTGGCGTACATATGACAGTACAGGAGTACTGACAGAAGGTATCTTACCAGCACATGACTTAGTCTTCCAGATTTTCTTTAGGAGGATTATGAGGGCGACGAGATGGGAGAAATCCCCCAATAACCTGAATATGTTCATGCCTTTTTGTACCGAGATGAATACTGATACGCGCCACACTCGTGGCCTTTCTCAATAAACAATGTACATCTAAATATGAAACTAGTGATCGAAACGTACTTCAGATCATGAATTTCAGACGTTTTAAATGTCTAGATGTCTTTGACACACAAACGGCCTGGAATTTGATAGTGAGTTGAACAGTAACAACAGTCCGTTATTCATCTACTTATGAAACCCATACCTAAGAATGGAAAGTCTAAATCTCCTTCTTTGATGAATTTTCATACTAAGGTGGTTTATTTGGTTTAAAGTTTCTCTCTTGACTTATATATACATATCAAAATTGTTGACGTCAGACACTCTGCCTCAGTTTCCTAAGTGAGTAATAAAAGTCGAGTATCTACGTTTACTAGTAAGCCCCATTTGCGTCAAGAGCTTAAAGCATACTGCTCTACGGTATATATTCCAGCCCTTAAGGTGATTTATCTGTCAAGCACGACCGGGAGATTCTTCGTGGATGAACTACAAGCTGCCCATAACATGAAACTACAATGAAAGATTTAAAGCTCGTGAAAAAGAAGAGGTGAAATATGCGAAGCTCCAAAAGCGTATGTCGCCGAATACAACCTCAGAACGTAAAGTCAACGCAACAAAGACTATATCAGATTTTGATCTGCACTATGTAGACAATTTTTTCCTAGAAACCTAATAAAGCCAACGATGATGGACAGTAACATCCAGAAAATTAAATTGGTAGATTGAAGCTTTTAAACCTTTAACAAACAGGACTACCAGGAAGGGAAGACGTTAGTTCTAAGGAATGGAACCTCAGAGCCTACTGAGGCAAATCTCTCAGGAGGATCATTCATATTTCACAAGCAGAAAGTCTTCCGAAAAATGCTAAAAGGCTCGACCTAGACACATCTGAAGTCACATTAAGCCGTTTACATGTAAATTGTGTTCAAAGGAGGATCGATAGTTACTAAACGTGACAGATTAGAAAGTGGATTCAGATATCCTTCCAGCAGGCTCTCGTCTCGGAAAGTTATTTTTTATAGGGGAATCTGTAACAGCATAGATTGTTTGGTTAAGAGTTGACCTCAGACAACCAAGTATATGCCAAAACAGTACAGGTCAAGTATTCATTCACTTCCTTATCTTGAATAGGCGTTATATTTCCTATTATCTTATATTGAATGTTGAGAGGCTTTGTTTGTCTGAACAAATAATCCCACACTTCACTGTGACTGCGCGAAGATCGAAATAAAGATCTATTCACTACTTGTTTGGTTTCTTCTATCAATAGCACGAGGGTTACCTTAAGGCACGAAAAATCTATCTTTGTAAAATCAAGATGAAGTGTGTGATTCTGACATCAGTGTCCGTGCTAACAGCAGCCTGATTGACCATATCAAGTGGTCTCTGAAGCAGCAGAAATGAATAAACTCTGTGGAGGCCATGAGAAAAGCCTCATACATAAAAATCTTCACACTTTCAAAATAAAGGGTAGGACGATTTCCAAAGTATTGTGGGTGTTACTACAAAGGATTTCATGAAACTAAAGTTAAGCAACTAAGCAAATTGACAGAGCTCATGAAAGTAGTGGATGCAGGAAGCCCTGATGGTGATTATGTAATAGAAAAGACAGGTATCAGATGTGTATGATAATGAACTTCAGCTGTTTGGTTTAGTACTTCATAGAACTAACGGAATGAATCATATATGAAGTGACATCATACTGTATCTGGAAGGTACTTTAGAGAGCTATTGAAACAATGGTATGCGGCTCAAAGATATGTAGATTTGAGCAGCGCCGGCTGAATTAGTAATGGCAAACAACAGTCCAAGGTATGTAGCAAGTGATTTCCTCCTAAGCAAAATGAGATACTCGTCGAACAGACGAAGAAGCCCTACAGTAGTCGACTTCGGTTCTTAATGTATGCTGACTTAAAGATAGGATCATCAAAAACATTGCTCGACTACAAGTCGCTGAAAATCAGTTTCTTCATCAGTTCAACACACTGAAAATCCCTATAGTACTCTTCTATTTTGACTTTAGTTTTCACACACAGCTGGTGTTGATCGAATTAATCCCCTCCTATTTATAGGGGGAGTGCCATGAGGTCATCTCATTCAAGTTTATATCTGCTGTGACTTATCAGGCAAATGCGCCAACCCGTCCTATTAAAAGATAACATGAAGCCGATCAACCCTGAGTCCTCGAGCGAAGACTTCAAAATTGATCCGACACATGAGTACAGGAAAGATTGAATCTCCCATGGTAGTGATATATATATATATATATATATATATATATATATATATATATATATATAACTCAACCGTTTATACTTTGGACAGTCGTTAGAAAAAGGTATGATCAGTTTTGGGTGAATTGAATGGTTTGGGGTTTAACACGGTAAATGAAAAATACTCGAACGCCGCAAGCAATTTCGATGGACTTTAAAGGCGGATTCGTGGTACCTGTAAAAACATAATCTCTACAGCACGGCCGAAATATGAAAGTTAATTGGTACAAACGAGAGTCAAGAAGCACAAAAGTTACGAACCAGGTTTGGTAGAGGAAAAAAGGAAATTTCGAATAATAGAAAATGGTCACGACAAACCAGAAGCAATGACTGCTTAATTTGGAATGGCATTCATTCACGAGTTTTCTCTCGACAAAAGACTAGGAGTAGAACCATTTTCTACAAATCTGTTAATCGCCTTGAACCGTAATGACGGCGACGTACTAAAGGCACTGAGCTATTTAAACTGGGAAGTATCAACCATGCCGGATAACCTCCTTTCTTAAAAACGGACACACTGAGCATTACTTTGCTGTTCCGCTGACTACGATATTTGCTATGTCATCCGACCAGAGGGTGTTATATGCGGACCATGATGATGTGGCTGTCACTACAACTCGCGGGACGGTATAAGGATGACTTCCATTAAATTAAGGACCTGTCAGTTTCACCAAATACGTAGTTGACATACTGGAAAGAATGATTCATAACGGCCGCCATAACCATTGTGACAACTCAAAGTTTCTTAAACAGTGGATAACACGGATTCAGAAGAGGGTTGTCATGCATAACTAGCCTATTTACACCAAGTGAGAAGTAGACCTAGTTGCTTGGTATTTATAAATCAATAAATGTCATCAACGTTGACTCCTACGAAGCATTTGATAGGATACTGTTTTGTAGCCTGCTTTGGGTACTTGAAAACCTGAAAATTAATGATTCCGTTTTAAAAAGAATAGATCATCTACGGAAAGTGAGCATAAATTTCAAACTTTCCCCAAGGAAGCTAGAACTTAATAAAGTACTACAAGGCCCTGTTCCACTTCTCTAATTTTGTATATCATCATCGCGCGTTGCGGTAGTCGGTCGATGAACATGCATTATACATGTCATAACCATCTGTGTGCATGATCACACAGTTTTTTAACTCGAATGACTTACGCTACGCAAGCGATGCCTCCATTAAAATAATAGAATACTAGCAGCACAGTGGCACCCTATGTAGTAAAGTGAACCAGGATGTGTGTTCGCTCGGTTTGTTAGTGAACATATGACGACGGTCTCATTAAAAGTGTCACGACTCCCATTATCACCTTCATAGAAAATAGGCAGGTACTTACTGAATATAATATAGTGCTTTTATTTTTTAAAAGTAGAACACAAGCAGCAAAGAAATTGAAGCAAAATGGTAATATGCATCAGATGCACATTGGACGACTTGTCTTTATTGATCACCTGAAACAAAATATAAATATTGGCTCGGCAGGTGCGTCCAGTAAGACCTCACTGTCGGTCTGTTAAGAAAAAAGGGGTTGGCTATGTGAGAAATAGTTCTAGGGTTACTGTCAATGTTATCAAAATCGACAGTGTTCCATGAAGTACCGATAACTAAAACTGCTTGGACGTTATCCAAAAATATTATTTGGACAGAAAAAATTGAAACATTGAGGCTGTTGTACATTACAGTAACCTTAAACTTCTTGTTTAATTCACTAAAGGCAGAATTTCAGAACAAGGACAAAGCTATTATGTACTGGTTGAGATCATACCACGACAATTGGTAAAATTACAGTTATGAAGAAAAGGGAGTATAATAACAGTTACTTACAATTTTACACCCTGACCATGGGTCTTCAACTTCGTTCTGTATCCAAAACATTAAGCATACAAAAAATAGAGACAGCAGATTTACCGCTCTTCATCGTTCAACTTACATTCACGCACCACGTAACGCGTCAAAATGCCGATAAAAGGTTTTCTGAAATGGACAGGTAACATCTCTGAATTGATTGCAGGATGCTAGGTGCCCAGTTCTCCTAATCCTCTTGAATACATCCCTGGTGTCCACAACAGTTGAATACTCAGTATTAGTTCGAGTGGTTGATAAATACATAAATCACTTTCCTCCAAACACTCATCAAGAGAACAAAGAAGACAGACATCCGGCTGTTATCCAGTTATTGGCGTTAATGCTGGGAATCTTGTTTGCTAGTAGTGACCTTGAAATAGACTTTTCCCTGAAACGAACCGTTATTCAATACAACGTATGGATGGCCAATATTTCAGTTGTGCTCTGTAACGATTTGTGTGTTTGTGTTCTAATTTGGCGATTTGTAGTTGTTGATTGCGTCGTCTAGTTCTCAACTTATTTAGTACATTGGAAAATCTGTAGGCTGATTGGTTACTAGTTAATCGAAAACATTTAAGCAAATGTCAGAACATTAAAACTCAAGTGTTCATTCACTTCTTTATTGTGTATGGGCGTTATACTTCCCACTAATTTGTGTTGAATGTTGAAAGGCTTCGTGTGTTTAAAAACGTAAACGTGCAATCAACACTAACTTCCAAGATTTAGAAATAAGGACTTATTCACTATTATTATTATTATTAATGGGTTTATTCAATATTATATTTGGTACAATGTAGAATTCTCAGCACAGGGTATTTCAACAATTTCCTTACTCAAAAAACAGAAACAAAGACAAGAAAGGAATTAAAAAACCGAAAAACTGTACAACTTTTCAAATTAGAGACATGTTAAG